TAAGTTTACAGCTCACAGTGTGCTGTTTTCGTCGCGCTGTGATGACATCACGTACGCGCTTTCATCGAGCGCGCTTTAGTCTACTGCGGTTTTGTGGTGGAACCTCCCTGTGTCCTGGGGGGGGGGGGCACCTGAGTGGTGCAGGTGGGGGCGCCTTGGCTGCAGGGTGTTCACTGCCTCCAGTCTGCAACACTGCCCCAAGGTGGCTCCCCCCCCCCGCCCATTTGCCCCACTCAGGCCACCCTGAGGACACGGACGAAGCCTCCAAGCGGCCTCAGAGGCTCCCTGGAAAGGAGGAGAAGGACCAGCTGTCTGCAAGGAGCCTCAAGCCTTCTGTTACCACCCCCTCCCCAAATCCGGTCAGAGCGAATCCGGCTCTCCCCACGGAGTTTGCTTGTCGGAAGCCAGCTGGGAAGGCTACCAATCGCATTCACAAGACCCCCAAGACAGTGCAACCGTCATAAATACAGGCCGGTTGTGAGTGCCCGAATTCTGTTCCTGCGACGATGTAACAGTTGTAAGTGTGAGGATCGGTTGTAGATTATCTTTCTCCGGGGTCTGACTGGGGTAGATTGCAGGGGTGAGGAAGACATATAATTTTATCTCATTTTATGTATTTATTGGCATTTTATCCTATAACCGTGATGGTGAACCTGTGGCATGGGGAGCCATATCTGTCGGCATGCGCGCACCGGCCAGCTGATTTTCGGCCTTCGGGAGAGCCGGGGGAGGCCGTTTTCACCCTCCCCAGGCGTCAGGAAAGCCTCCAGAGTCTGGGAAGGACGAAAAACGGGCCTAATGGGCCAACTGGAAGTTCGTTTCCAAACATCTGCGGGTCGTGCGTGCATGCACAGGTGGGTGGGGCACATTGCATTGTGGGTATGGGCCACACGGGGGCGCACTATTGCATGCACGCACACAATTTTCGCATGCGCTTACAAAAAAGGTTTGCCACCAGTGTCTTAGACCGATTGTATTTTACCTTATTCTCATTTTAAATTGTTTAGAATTTTATTGGCATTGTGGGTTTGAACCTGTACATTGATATGGCCTGTAGGCTAATATATGTATGTATGTATGTATGTATGTATGTATGTATGTATGTATGTATGCATGCATGCATGTATATACATACATACACATACACACAGACAAAGTTCTTTCTCCAGGTCTGTTTTAACTTCCAGTGGTCACTAAGTGAATGACGTTAAGTCGAGGACTTGCGTGTGTGTCTCAAACACGGCAATTTAAAAGTTCTGGTGTTTTTGAAGCAGGCAATCGTGACTTTGGGGGGGGGGATTTTTCTTCCTGTTCCGTCCCCCCCATCCCAGAAAGCAGGAAGTGGACGCTTCCCAAGAAGGGGTCCCAGCACCCACACCGCCTGCCTTGTCTATGGACAGGGTGGACGTGTGACACCCCCTCCCTCAGACCACCGTGCTGGGCTTGGCCTGGGGATCTGGCCCCCCACTTGCAGACATGCAGAGTCCAGGGCCTGCCCGAATGGCTGGGCGAAGCATGTCTGCACCCCCATTTCTGGAGGGTCTTTACAGCTGGGGGAACTCTGAAAGGGTCCTGCCTCTTTCTCTCACACCCCCCCCCCCCGCCATCCCATTAAGGGCTCCATCCGTCTGTTCTCTTCCCAGGGTGAAGGCTGGAGGCCGGCCGCCAAGGGAGAAAGCCAAGGGGTGCAGAGGTTGAGGGCGGGTGGGTCCAGCAGGAGCCGAGAGGCACCAGCGTTCTGCCAAGGTGCTCCTCGTACTTATAGGACTGCCCCCCCCGCCCCTGCCACCCACATCACAACAAAGGCATGCCACATCTAGGGACAGAGAGAGAGAGAGAGAGAGAGAGAGGGAGAGAGGGGAGGGGGTTCCTACCTCTGCGTGTCAGAAATGCACCACCAGGCCCAGGCCCAGCCGCCATAGATGTACTGCTTGTTATCAGAACCACAACAGCCGCCTGCAGGGAAGAGCAGAGAATGGACAGATGAGGACTCAGAGGAAACATTGATGGGTCTTATTATGCTTACACATAACCCAAAGGCAGAAACAGCAATATAGCAATAGCAGTTAGACTTATATAGCGCTTCATAGGGCTTTCAGCCCTCTCTAAGCGGTTTACAGAGTCAGCATATCACCCCAGTCTGGGTCCTCATTTCACCCACCTTGGAAGGATGGAAGTCTGAGTCAACCTTGAGCCGGTGAGATTAGAACNAAAAAAAAAAGGCCAAGGAAAGCTAACTCATCCCTCGGCCTGCACAACTGAGGCACATTTATTTCTGGGGTTAAAAACAAGGGGAAGGTTAGCATTAGTAAAGACAAAAGAAATGGAGAATGAGGAATTGGGAGTTTTGGGGGGAAATGGTGTTTCCAAGTTCTGGGCGGGGAAAAAAAAATGCAAAATGCACTCGTTTTGCTCTGAGAATAAAGCAAATTCACCCCAAAACGTGCTTTTGTGTTTTTGTGGGGTGTTTTGTAAAAAAATTTCCAGCCTGGCCGCAGCCTGGAGGGTCCTTAAAAAAATCACACGGTTTGGTTTCTTGGGAATAAGTAACAATTAAAAAAAAGATAAGCGGGAAATTGAATTAAGACTTCTAAAATGCGGAATTTCACATTTTAGGAAGAACTCGCCAGCTGCTCTGATCCTGGGCCCCGTCAAAGATCATGGATGAAGTTTGAACTCCTGATTTTAAGGAATGGATTCAAGATGAGCGTCCTTGAAAATATTATTTTTTGAAACGCCTGGTCTCTTTTTGAGGGGGACGGGTGGCCTAGAAATGCGGAATATAAACAAATAAATACACAGATCAGAGGTGGCCAAGCTTGGGGGCTTTAAGACCTGTGGACTTCAACTCCCAGAATTCCCCAGCCAGCATGGAGAATTGGTCAACGTGATGATGGCCGGCTGGGGGATTCTGGGTGTTGGAAGTCCACAGTGTGGAGATATATCGTGTCTGATCTAGATTCCCCCAAGGGGATTATGAAGGCCGTTGGTTTTTTACCTGATCTACATTTAATAATGTTCAGGGGCGAATTAATGCTATATCAATATATGGCTATGGATTTTTTCTTCTTTTAAATCAGTGTCTCTCAACCTTGGCAACTTGAAGATGTCCGGACTTCAACTCCCAGAATTCCCGAGCAGTGGTTAGGACAGTGTTTCTCAACCTTGGCCACTTGAAGATGTCCGGACTTCAACTCCCAGAATTCCCGAGCAGTGGTTAGGACAGTGTTTCTCAACCTTGGCCACTTGAAGATGTCCGGACTTCAACTCCCAGAATTCCCCAGCCAGCATTCGCTGGGAGTTGAAGCCCAGACATCTTCAAGTGGCCAAGGTTGAGAAACACTGATTTAAATTCTTTGCTTCCCTCCAGTATTATTAATATTTAATTAATATATATTAATTCCTGTATTATCCCTGATGGAGGATTTATTTTCTTACACTTCACTAAAATGAAATTATACGTAAACCTCCCGTGTTAATAACGAAGGCCGAAGTCATCCCCATTTATGTTTTATTTTTTATTTATATTCATGTTTATTTATTTGTACATACAGGTAGTCCTTGACTTAGAACGATTCGTTTAGCGACAGTTCGAAGCTACATGAGCGAAAGGGACTGAGGACCGTTTTTCACACTTAATGACCGTCGCAGTATCCCCGTGGTCACGCGATCAACGGACTCATATTTAGGGCGGTTTGCAGTGTCCCGGGGTCACGTGACCCCCCCCCTTTTGCCACCTGCTGACCAACAGAAGTCAATGGGAAGTCCAGATTCACTTAACGACCGTGTGACTAACCCAACAACGGCAATGATTCGCTTACCGACTTCGGCAAGAAAGGCCGTCAAACGGGGCAAAACTCGCTTCGTAGCGGTCCCCCTTAGCAACGGGGGCTTGTGGCTCGATTGCGGCCGTAAGTTGAGGACTACCTGTATTTCATATCTTCCTATCATAGTGACATTATTGGTCGTTATATCCTGTCGTCATGATACTGATGTCCAAAGAGCTTCGTTTTTGGGGTGGGCAGAGGAGAAAGGGGGGGAGCTGGCTCCCTCTGGTTCGATGTTCTCAGCGGTCAGCCCCAGGGGTCACAGGGGGAAGGTACGATAGATTCGGTCCTCCGTGGAGATGCTCCTTCATCCAGCTGTGCGCTTGTCCCAAAAGTGCTTTTTCTGAAGAGGGAATCGGACTTTCTGGATTTTCCTTTGAAGGCTTTTCACTTCTTCATCTCAGAAGCTTCTTCAGCTCTGACCGGATTTTTTTTTTTTTGGGGGGGGGGGGGGGGATTGATCTTCCTTGCAGATGGCTGGTCATTTGCATCCTTTTAGTGGGTCCTTTAAAGACACTTGGAGGTTTCNTGGGGGCGATATGCTGACTCTGTAAACCGCTTAGAGAGGGCTGAAAGCCCTATGAAGCGGTAGATAAGTCTAACTGCTATTGCTATTGCTATTCTCGAAAACCTCCAGTGATGAAACACCTACCACTTCTGGAGGCAAGTAGTTCCACTGGGTAATTGTTCCAATGAATTTGTTCTGCGTGCAACGGCACAGGCACAACGCCAATGGCCTCTCTGCACGGAGGATGCCCGGGAAGGAAGGAAGGGCCATGGAGGTTCACGCTGGATGGAGTGGCGGCCTCTGGGTCCAATCCCCCCTGCCCATCTCTCCTAGTAGAGCAGAGGGCAGATGCCGCCACCACCACCCTGGGACCTCCAGGCGGGCTCGAAATGGCAGTCCTGGGCAGCGGAAGGGGAGAGAGAGTCCTGCCAAGCAGATGTTGGCAAGGATCTCTGTTCCTTCCTGGAAGGCCAGATGTTGTGTCCCCCCCCCCGGCCTATTCCCTTCCTGCTTCCCCCCCCCTTTTCCGGGCAAAAGAAAGGAGCAGATCCATGCACCCCTCCTTCCTCTGCCCAGGTTCCCCCAGAGCAGGAAGGGGAGGGGCTGTCGTCGCCCTGCTGCAAAAGGGGGGGCCTGGAGGGGGGGCTGCTTGAGAGGAAGGGGCAGCAGGGGCTTGGAAAGGGAGCCCTCCTTGCTCTGCGGGTGTTTTCCAAAGTGCCAAAGGGGAAGCTTTCAGGGGTCCCCCTCCTTGCTCCTTGCCCCACCCGCAGTCTTTGGGTCCTCCCCGGGGAAACCCAGAGCCTCGTCTTTTTCTGTGTTAGTAGAAGCAGAAGGGGGAGGAGACCCCCCCCAAAAAAAACCCCACGCCATCCCCTGCTGCAAAGCCTGGCCCATCCCCCGGGGTGCTTCACACAGCAAGAAGGACGGCACCATCACAGAAAGGGCAGAGTCAGGGATTGCACAGAAGACACTCGGGGAGGGAGGGAAGGAAGGAAAGGAGAGGAAGAGGAGGGAGGGAGGGAAAGGGAAAACAAGGGGAAGGGAGGGAGGTAGAGGATGGGAGAGAGGGATAGAGGAAGGAAGAAAAGGAGAGGATGGGACAGAGNACTCCCAGAATTCCCCAGCCAGCATTCGCTGGCTGGGGAATTCTGGGAGTTGAAGTCCGGACATCTTCAAGTTGCTAAGGTTGAGAAACACTGTCTTAGAGGATCCAGCCTTGTGGGGCAACGCAGAATAAGCCCTCTCTCTTCCCTGGAGGAGAGCCCCCCCGAAAGGCTGCTAGAGTGTCTCCCCTGGGCCTTTGCAGGCTGAAGGTACCCGGCTCCTTTCCTTGTTCCTCTAAGAATTTGGGGACTTCTGTTCTCTGGATTCTCCTCGTTTTGGCCTTTTCGGCAGCTTTGTCCCATTGCTGGCTCTGGCTGGACTGGCCAGGACTCCCGCATCTCTTTCGCCACCCAGGCTGCCTTCACCCTGGGATTCTCAGGTTTTCCTGCCAGACGCGGGGGAAGTTTCACCCTCCCTCTCTTGGCCCAGAGAATGGGCCGCAAATGGGTGCTTTTTAAACAATGGCCGGGGAAAACATAGACGCCTTGTCAAAGAAAAGGAAAAACGAATACAAAGAAAGGCTGCTTGGTGAATGTGAAATGAATAAAAGCGAGGGACTCTGGATAGCCCCAAAAGGCTTCAGCCCAAAGGGGGCCCAGGTATCCACACAGGTGCTTTCCTGTTTTCTCCCGGCCTCTCGTGTTTCGGCCCCTCTACCCCTCTGTCTCGTTGCCTTGGAGGACGGGCATTGCCCACAAGTGACTGTCTGTGTAACATGGTTGGCCTGGGGTGACAATTTGGTTCCCGGTTCCTCTGAGTCAGGTCACTTGGCTGCCCTGGTAAAGCCCCTGCTCTCCTCCGGATGTTTCCGGCAGCCCCCAAGCGTTCCTTCGTTTATTTCCAACATTTATCTAGTTGCCCAACTCTGGGCCCCTCCCAATCAAAAGGAGAAAAGTCATATTAAAAGAATAAAAAATAAACACATTAAAAACAAAAGAAAAAAAAATGGCAGCAAGTCATACTTCTGATTTCCAGTCAACCCCAACCCTCCCCTCTCCTTTCCCTGTGGAGAAACCGAGAGGGCTCCTTCACTGGACAGGCTTCAGCACCTGCTCACCTGGGGGGGGGCACACATGGAGCAGCCCCCCCAGGCTGGCCTACTGGCCTTTGCCCTGCCCGCCATTCCCCCTGGGCAGGAGGAGGAGGAGAACCAGGCAGAGAGAGTCTGCCAGGAGGGCACCTTTCCTGCAGGAAGAAGCCAGGCTGGTCTGCCTGGGAGGGGCTGGCCTGGCCTTGCAGCAACCAGTCCAGAGGTGCCCCCCCACCTGCTGATGCATCAGGGCCTCTGCGCCAAAGAGCAGGAAGCCCCCCCCCCCCCCCCGAGAGCCTCCTGGCTGGGTATCTCCCTGTGCCCAATGGGGAAGAGGACAGGCAGGCCACGAGTGGGCCTGGTCCAAGGTGGTCTTCTGGGACTCCCAGAGCCACTGGGTTGGCCGGTCACTTGGCCTGAAGCCCCCTTCGGCTCCCATCTTTTTTTAAAATATTTTTTTTTAAAATTTTTGTTCTCTATATAC